CCCCAGCCTGGGTTTGGGGACTGCAGCCAGAACAAGGGCACAGCCCCAGGTCCCTCTCTGGCTGTGGAGCCCCGAATATCGACTGCACATGCTGTCCTTTCCTTCCAACCCATTTCTAATAGTCCTGGGTGCCCAAACCACTTCTGGCTTTACAGTCTGCAGAAACCATAGTCATTTTAAGGCAGATACAGGAATAGATGCAACTCCTGCAGGTGTGCTGTGGGCCCTGCTCAGGCTGCGCACACCCCCTCACCCCCTACAATTAGCCAATTCACTGTCCCCAAGCCCAGATGTCGGGCATGTCTGTCAGCCTCTCCAGAAGACAGAGGCCTCCAAACGTCCCTCCACATGGACAGGCTGCCATTGACTAGGGCTTCCTCCCAGCCCTCTGCTCCATTTAGCTACCTGCAGGCTATCCTGAGGTTCAAAAGCAAGCAGCTCCCTCCCAATTCCTTCAGGTTGCAGTGCAGCCGTTTCTGATGCATGTGTTTTATAAAAGCTCTTAGACCCACAGCAGCACTGGTGGGTATAGAAAAGAAATACAGCCCATGGAAAAGAGCAGCATTAAAAGCTGCCAAGCCTGGCTCTCCCTGGGCAAAGCCAAAGGGATCTGAGAGCCGAGCAGGCAATGCCAGCCTCAGGGAAGAATGCTGGTACAGCATCCACTGCACTAGAGTGGGCAAGGAGACCCCTCCTGTACTGTGCTTTGGTGACAGGCAGGTACCGTGCTTGTTTGGGGCAGGAAGAAGGCAAATACCCCTGAAACACCTTTTCCTCCTTCGAAATGGCACTGCTCCTTTTTTTTTTTTTTCCTAAAGCAAGTTGTAAACACAGGCCATATATGCCCAGGGCACCTCTGGAAGATGTCTTTAAATCTTCCCTGATAGCCATCATCTTCCACAAATCCAGGGTGCTCCTAGATGAAGGTCATGTTAGGGACAAGATTGAGGCTGGGATGGTGAGCTGCAAAGTGCCTGCATTGCATATGACACAGAGAACCATTGCTCCTGGCATCTGGAGCACTTCATCAGGTAGATATAGCAGCCACTTTAATAAAAAATTCAGTGAAAATGAGACACAAAGAGGTACTGAGTCAACAGGAGATGATGGTTTAGGACAGGAAGTGAAATTTTTGGGAGGGGGCTAGGCAGGCGATCATCTGACTGGATGCGGTCCAAGGCAGCGGTAGTGCGAGAGCCACGTGTAGAGAGCACCGTGGTTGCATCATTACAGACCACAATAGCTTCAAAAATAGCCATGAACAAATATAGCAACAAAGTGAACAGCAACAAAGCAAATCACAGGCACGTTCCCAAACAAAAGGCTGAGCTGTGCTTCCGGTACACGTGAGTTACAGCTCTCTTCTAGGGAGGTCGTGGGGCTTTATCCAGACGCATTTTATCTAATGTTTGGAATCGAGGCTGTGTTGAAGTGGTGGCAGCAGCTCTGGGAGCTGGCTCAGAGATGCTAAATTACTGCAGAGTAATGTAGCCATGCATATTGCCTGAAGACTAAGATAATTTTTAACCTGGTTTTTTTGATCTATTTGTTCTTAAATTTGCTGAGATCCACTGTGCTGTCTCTCTCATCCTTTCTGAAGCAGGTCAGCTTTTGATTCCTGGCATTTTTGGACCTGCAGTGATTGTTTCACTGCTCCAGCCATTTAAACAGACACCACCCAGCAGCTCCTTAGCCAATCTCTTGCTCTGCAAGAAAAGAACGGGCTCAAAGCAATAAAATAAGGACTCACCCATGCTGTCAAGGTCTGAAGCAAGCAAGAGAAATGAGTCTGAGAGGTGCACGCATAGGTAACGAGGTCAGGAGCGGCTGTCCTGCTGGCTGTACTGCCTGGGAACAGCGTGGCACCTTACCACAAGATAGCAGCACCGTGGACTTCCCTCTCCTGGTCCCACCTGCTGTCCACATCTGCACCTTTAGGAAAGGGCTTGCTCAGCCCAGGGCACTCAATCTCTCTTTTTTTTTTTTTTTCTCTCCCCTCCAGAAATGGTTCAAGCAGCGCCTGGCAGAGTGGAGGAAGTCTGAAGGGCTGCCCTCAGAAACCGGGTCTGTCAGGGACTAGAGGATGCTCCTCCGATCTCAATGCCTGCTGTAAATGATGGGGAAGGTCTTCAGAGTGGGCTTCCTTGAGCTTCTTCTGCTGCAGTAGGGTTTGCGATACAAAGTAATACCATGCTATTTAACATGTTTTATTTAAAGTGTACATAGCCAGGAAAAAAATATTA